GTTTTATAAGTGTTCATAAGTTTCATCCATAATTTTAAAAGAACACTAGTCACTTTCTTACATAATATATGGCACAATCTTTATGCCATAATACTGAAAGAACATAATGCTGTACATTTTAAATCAATTTTAACAGTGGCCTTTATTTCTTCTCACAAGCTATTATTAAGATACAATGCAGTTGTAAGAAATTTTATGTAAAAAAGTGTATCAGTCAACTCAAATGAACTCTTGCTCCCAATGATGACATATTATCCTCTAATTAAATCAGCTAAGATAACTCACAATCACTCTAAAATTAATTCTCAAATCAAGAGTTTAACAAGTGGCACTTCTAAAGCCCAACTTTTATATTGCTTTGATACCTGGAATTAATGTGATTCTTTTAGAAATCTAGTGACTTGTAGAATCATTTAAAAAAAAAAAAAAAAAACTGAAGTTCACTTCACTCATTTGTGACTTATACTGTCCTTCCAAAAACTTTTAAAGAAGTCAGCTAACTAAACAGGGGCAAAGAAATCAGAAATCTTTGAAGCAGGCAGATAAACAGAAATTAAACAATTTATCTCAAACTATGATATTTACTGTGGCTTTAAAGAGTAAGAGTTACCAAACACTGTTTTCCATTTAAGTTAATGTGGTATCTCCATGGAAACTGGAAAAAAAAAGTTGTGTAAATTGTAAATGTACTAAATTAGTTGGTCTGCTGGGGGAGCAGACAGAAAGAAAGGTTTCCAGAGAAAGCAAACGCCCATTGGGCAAAGGTCAGTGAAAATGAAACATTATGTATTTTGAAACAAACAAATAATCTTTTTAAAATACAGATTTTTAGATAAATACTTGATAAATTAATATCAAATAGATGAAGAGTTTAGTGCTTTTTTAATATCCAGCTGTAACCCAACTCTCAAAATACCTGGGACAGGAAAAGTTGCAAAATAAATATTGGAAACAGAGTTAGTTACATTTTTTTTTTCTAATCAGTGGAGATAAATGTTCTTACTCCCTCTAGCCCCATGAATAACTTTCCATCATGAGTTTTGTTGGACTAACCCAGTCTTTCAATAGGCCTAGTGTACTGAAAGAAACCAAGAAATGTACTTTAGTTTCTATGTTTTACATAACTATACCTTGCAAGAAAATGATCAGGAAAATGGGTAAATGCATGAACCATTAGTGGTGGTAGCATGGCCAATTCCTGAGAATACAACATCCAAAGTCAAAGTGATTTTGAGAAATTAGAGACGACGCTGGAACAAAACAGAAACGGATTTAGCATGCGCAACTGGAAGGGATACATAGATGCATATAGTGATTAATAACACCAGACTATATATATATACATATGAAAGAATAGATTTTGCATGCATTCATTCAAAATAAATGGTAACATTTAATACTGTAAGGCAGTGGACCAAGTTAGGTATATAGACCCTGGAGTCAGAATGCCTGGGTTTGAATTGCAGCCTCATTAATTACTAGTTGAGTCACCCTTAGGTAAGTTAATTAAAGTTCCTGTCACACATCCTTTTCATCTATAAAATGGGGTTAATGTGTAGCATCTACTAAGTTATTGGAAGAATTCAGTAAGGTGATATTATAAAGGTAATAATTTTTAAGTAGGTGATGGGCACATAATAAATTCTATATATGAGATTGTTAAATAAAGTCACATTACATAAGTAATGAAAACATGATCATGTAGGCCAATAAGTCACTGTTAACTACAAAGTGTTATAATTAATGATCCTAGCAAGACTCAAGGCATAAAACAGTGGCAGAGTAAGCCTGAAACAACATTATCTGAATTTCCCGGAGTTTTAAGCAGGTGCTATTTTTGGGTAGAGTTCCTTTAGAAGTTTAGAGTTTAGGATTGGAAAATTAGGTCATAATTCTGACAAATGAGGAGAGACTAGAATGTTTCACACTGACCTTTGATCAGAATAACTGTCCTAACAAAGAACCTGATGATTCATGCTCAATATCTTCCCAGAAGATAGAACAAGAAAAAATAAGCAAGCACATTGTGAAGGCTTTTGGCTAGATATCTGGAAACATTTCTATATCACAAGAATTGCTAAATATTAGAATGTATTGCTGAAAGGGGATCAAGAGTCTACTCCTTTGGAAGTTTTTCAAACAAGGATAAATAGAGTCTATCTGATCTCCTTGCGATAGTTTAAAATCAGCGCTGAGTGAAGACTGATGGTGCAAACTGCCCCTTGAAGGCCTCCTCCTTCCCAAGCATTCTCTGAAAGTATAACTTTATATATTCCCTATCATACTTCCTCATCTGTTGGGTGTCTATTCTACCCTAGAATAGAAAAGGGCAACGCTATTTCACAATTGTGAGTTCTGAGTAAAACTTTGATAATGTCATGATGAAGCATAATGTCCTTATTACTTCTCAAGTTATTTCACTAAGCAAGCTACCTGCAAATAGCTTTCAATTAGAAACAGCTGTCATGAATCTGAAGCCTGAACAGCAATTCTTTTAAATTTATGTGCCCTGACAGATTGAAGACACATGAAATTCCTCAAGCAAACCATTAGATGCCCAATCAAGGCAAAGGATAAAAAAAGAGTTTAAGAAAAGATAACCACTTACACTAGATAATTAAACGTAAACAGTATCAAGAACTAGGGAGGAGAGATAGAGTGTGTTCATGTAACAACAGGATATATTTCCTAAGTGATTCTTAAAACAGCAATAGGTAGCATTAAGTAAAGTTATTTTGAAAAAAACAAGTATATCCTTAAAAAACACAATTATCTTTCAATTCATTATTTTCCTATTAAATGTGCCTCTGACCCTGTGGTGACCTGCATCTTGATTTATGTCTACCAGCATCAAAGGACACAAGGCTTAAAGCAAAGTTAACAGTGTGCCCTTACTCATGGAAAGCAGGTGAGTTTAAAAAAAAAGTGCACACATTTTAGAAATTCATAGCTAATAAGCAAACACTGTAATTGTAAAAAGGTGGGGAGTAGACAAAAAACCAAAACCAAAAACAAAAACCTCTTTAAATATCCACTGAAGAATTTACATGAACCCCTGGGAATGTCCTCAACAAACAGTCATGGTGACTACAGAAATTGTTTTACACTGAAAATCTTCACTTTGATATTAAGGAGATGTGCCTGATGCTGAGGATGAACTCTAGTCTCCTGAGTGTCCCATTATCCGCTAAAGAATACTGAAGCAATTTAAAAACACCTATTTTCTTCTTTGAGATATCTTATCTGAAATCATGTTGGAAAACATCTGTGTGCTTAAAAGATACCGTTTGAAAAAGCTCAGATTAAAGGAGAAAAAGTTTCTAGAAGTGATCCATACTACAAACCTTTTAAAAAGTTGAATTCCCTGAGATTTGGGGAGGGAAAAGAAGCGAAGTTGATCCTTATCAATTAATTAAAAAGAATGAAATAACAGTAGACAAAGGAGAAGGAGAGTTAAGAAACTTAAGGAGCTGTGAGGACAGTCGCTCTCTATTAATTGATTAACAAATTAAGGAGTTCTGGAAAAGAAGGAAGAAGTAACAAGGATAGAAAAGTAGTCTTATAATTCACCACAGATTCTTCCTTAGACTCACCAAAGGGAATGTCTGGCTCTGAATTGAAAAAGCTCCTTCTATGCGTTTGGTAATTTGCGCCTCTTTTTTCCCCCTTTGGCAATGCTCAAATTTATTTAAATGTGTTCATTTCAGTGTAAGTAAAAACCCTCACTTCTACAGCTTGAAAATCATAAGAAAACAGCAATTCCACAACATATCGAAACTGTGATGTTCTAAGATATCCGCAAAATGCTTTTCATCCATCCACCAACTACTTGGCAAAAAGCAGAGAGAGGCTGATGGAAATTCAGCGTTTTGACTTGACGATCTGAGGTCACTAAGGACTTCAGCTACCCGGTTTGAGCAGCCCGCGCCCTCGCAGCATCTCCTGGCCTCCCTCGGCCTCTCTCAGTTCTGTTCTTTAGCAGCCAAAGGATTATCTCTTCCCGACACGTTTCATTCACAGAGCCCCAGAGAAGCTCGGATTCGGTTGGAGCTAAGAGCCGGAAAACAAGCACCCAGACTGCCGAGCAAGTTGTCGGAGACCAATTGCTACACACACTGGCGCCGAGCGAAAGGGTGGGCGCTCTCAAGCTCTTGGTGGAGCAATGCCAGTGGCCGGGCATGCGGGGGACACGGGGCCCCGGACCCGGACCCGAATCCCCAGCTGAGCCACCGGCTGAAGTTGACTGCTCGCTGGCAGACGAGGCCGGCTCCGGACCGGGTGGCGGGGTGTCCCCGAGCCCTGAGTGACCAACAGCAACTGGAGAAGCACTGAGGAACCGTAACGGGAAAGCCCGCCCCACATCTGAAACAGGCAGCCCGTGAAGTCCCCAAACCAGCCTTGAAATGCCGGCGTCCGGAGGCGAGGTCCCCGGCGAGGGTCCCTCCCAGCCTTGCCCGCCCCCGGCCCGGGCGCCCTGCGCTCTGCCCCCCGGAGGACAGGAAGAGGGGAGAGAGGGGCTGGGGGAGCCCTCTGCGTCTCTCCACCGCCCCTGCCGGCGCGAGGGCGGGAGTGGAGAAGGCGCCACTCAGACTGTGGCGCTGGGCAAACTGCGGTGGCAGTTCTTCCAAGTTTGCCCGAACCAGAGCGCGGGGTGAGCGCCCGGCTCGGCTCTCCGTCTGCGCCTTGCAGCCGCCCCGGAGTGGCCCGGGCTCCCTGGCCGGCCTGGCCTGAGCCATCAACTAAGGGGTAGAAGGGCGCGAGAGCAGAGGCAGGCGGGAGCGAGGGTGCTCCCGCGTGTGCACACAATGAGGCAGCGGAGACGCACACCTTCCCCCGCAGGAGCATCCGCAGCCCAGCTCGGAGACGCGGAGTCCCGTAGAGCGGTGGCAGAAAGTGGGCACCAACTCAGCAACAGGGGGAAGGAAGGGGGCGCCGGGCAGCCAGGGGGACGTGCGGCAACCGAGGGCTGCAGCCAGCCCTTGCCGCGCGCCCGCGCTTACCTGCGATCTCCTGGTAGGGGATGTCCGCCAGGCTGAATCCCTTGGCACCGTACGCCTGGCGGACCTCTCCGCAGCTCCGAGCCTTCACATCCGCCCCGGCCGGGAGGGACAGCAGCAACCCCAAGAGGGGAAGAATCACAGCCCCGATCCAAGAAGGCATGGTGCAACATACAAATCCAGCTCGGTAAACCCCACGGCCGGTGCGCTCTTCACCTTGCCCCTCAAGCCGAAAGCCCGCCAGAGGCAGCGACGCGCTCCTCGTCGCTGCCCAGCGTCACCCCCTTCCGCCAGCCGAGGGGACGAGCAGCGCAGCCCTCTGGACTGCGCTCAGCAAACTTTTATAAGCCAGATGGAGGATGGCAAGCCAACAAGGGCTGGCTGGGAAGGCTGCTTGCCTTGCTCCTCTAGCCCCCAGATCGAAACGGTGCAATCAAAACGAGGAAGAGAAGGAAGAGAAGTGTTTAAAAAAACACCATGGGGGCTCAGAGCTGCAATCCGAGTTCCCGGCCGCAGAATCCTGGAGCGCTGCGGGCTCGGCTCGCCGGAGTGTGCGGCGAAGGTGGGAACGCGCGCCGGCTCTCCCGGGAGGGAGACGGACAAGCGAGAGCGAGTGTGTGTGCGCGCGTGTGTCTGTTGGTGTGAGCGCGAGGTTCTTGGGGATGTGTGTGCGTGGAGGTATGTGTTGGGGATATACGAGATCTAGGGGAAACCTCAGCTTAACACAGGCTGTGAGAGCCTGTGAGAGTCCTCCTGAAATCGGAAGAGAGAAATCCTGGAGACAGACACTGGAGGCAAGAGGGAAGGAGAAAGGAGGGGGGAGAAAGAAACGTGCTACACATTGCACGGCCGAAATTCACAGGCCGAGTCAAAGGCAAAACCTGGACTGGATCTCTTCCTAGTCGGTAGAAAGGGGAAAAAAAGAAAAAGAAACGTTCCTATTTTCTCATTCGCTTCACATCCTTTATACCGATCTGAAATGACATCAATAAGCAATCTAGAAAGACAAGGTAATTTTAAGTCATTAACACGTTATTAAGCTGTGTTTTTATGGAGGTAAAGGAGAACGCAGTTCCAATTGTTGCTCTTAATGTATGTCCCTGACCTACTGAAACACAAAGCCAGAGTGGAAATAGTCACATACGGGAGTTCCAGGGTGGCAGAGCACAATCACGACTGTAACTAGTTATCTAATTTCTGTTTGACTTTTTTTCTAAAGGCACACATTACAGACCGGTACTTCTTTATTTCAAAAGGTTTGGTTCTAGACTCAACAATTTCCCCTTTTCTTATTTCAAATATTCCATAGCCTTAGATCAGAAATCATTATGCTTAGGTTTCTAATGTGTGGAGGATCAGGAAAGCTAACAACCAGACCAAAGAAGCAACAAAAAAAGGAGAGAACAAGGGTCAGAGGTGCATAAAGGGACACAATGGGGGAAGGGAGGTGATATCTTCCCTCTTACCAGATGCCTTCGCATAGTAGACTAACATTTTCTTCCAAGTTAACGTAATTCTCAAGTGGAGAATCAATCCAATTTCTTCTTCCTGTCTCCATTTACACTGACGTTCTGTGAACAGGACAAAAGTGAAAATTCAGGTTTGCCTAATTGACTTTGTTATGCTAATGGACGCACTGAAGTCAGCTGGCAGAAGTGTGTGTTGAAACTCAGAGCTCCTGAAACTACTAAGATAGTTTAATGAAAACCAAGACAAAATAATAATAGTGTTTATTCACTTACGTGGCTATATGTATCATAGGTCAGCACATTATTCAGAAACTACTAGAAGGTAATGCCCAGTTTTGTGGAGCTCATGTATGAAGCTACACGTGAAGATGTTTTCCTGATGATGGTGTGAATGACCAGAATGACTCAGGAAGTTTAAATCATTCAATTTGTCATTACCATCACATTAGCTACATTGTCTTCCTCTCTTTATAATAAATTCCTCCTCTCCTAACCAACAAAAAGACTCTCAAGATTCAACCTCATTTAACCTCAAACGCTTTAAAAATGAAGTCGACTTATTTACAGAGCCACTTTGTCTTCTTCTAACTCATAGGGCAAAACAAAACAAAACCAAAAAAAAAAAAAAAATCCATAGCTAAATCTTTCCGAAAAGGCAACACACTTAACTTTTTTCCTCTTAAAATTTTAGCGCAATTGTTTGCTTTCACAATATTTCTGCTAACTGGCAGATCTTAAATCACTGAACTTACTTTCCCTCAACACGGAAATCAAGATAAAATATATTCTAGTATGTTTGTGGACAAACGGTGAGGTTGATAGGATCAGGAATTGTAGTCAAGTCATTACTTCTGGGATATTTGACAACGTGACTTCCTTCAAACTTCTCTTTGTATCATAGTCAAGCATTATGCACTCCAGAGGAAGGGGGTAAAAACACACACCTCCTATTCTACCATCTTATCCTGGAACTCATTGTAATTTACCCTGACTCAGTATAGCAGATAATTCATTTTTTTAAATGGAGGCATAGGAAGAATGGGTAAAAGCATAGTATATGTGGTTTTAAATTATTTGAAGATCAGCTCATTGTTAGGTATTGAATCAGCACTCAATGCTGCTATATAGCACTAGACTCTTGTACGCAGTCCCTATACTTATAAAATGATCTTAGAATTTGTGGCAAAGATACTATATGAAAAGAATGACTAAGCATAAATAGATGAGTTTAATTCCATCAGGAGAGTCAAATAGTTTAGTGTAGGTTTGTGAACTCAAGTCAGACCAAAGAATTAGATAACTTGCTTTACTGGTGACCTTAACCCTGCCTGGTCCATTTGTTGAGTAATGTCACACTGTTTGCAGTGGTGTAAGAGACAAAGTTAAACATTCCAGTTAACATTGAGAGCCACAGCAGGAGCCTAGACAAGGTCTTGGAATGAGAATGGAATGTTATGGAAGTTCCTGGAAGAGGTCTGACCAGACAGGAGAGAGGTCATGTGGAGGAGTAGGCATCTGGTTTAGACAAAAAGGTCAGCTAATGGCTGGAACCCTAGCTGTAGTATTTATATTGTGTGTAGTAGGAAAAAAGAACATGGATAAATGTCATACAAGAGGAAGCAAACAAGGCCAGGCACGGTGGCTCATGCCTATAATCCCAGCACTTTGGGAGGCCGAGGCAGGCAGATCACCTGAGGTAGGGAGTTTGACACGACCTTGACCAACATGGAGAAACCCCATCTCTACTGAAGATACAAAATTAACTGGACGTGCTGGCACATGCCTGTAATCTCGGCTCCCCGGGAGGCTGAGACAGGAGAATCACTTGAACCTGGGAGGCAGAGGTTGCGGTGAGCTAAGATGGCGCCATTGCGGTGAGCCGAGATGGCGCCATTGCACTCTAGACTTGGCAACGAGGACAAGTCTGAGTCTCAAAAAAAAAAAAAAAAAGTAAGCAAACAAATAGCATGAGGTAAATGGATACCTAGAATAGGACAATGAAAAATGGAAAGATGTAGATAGAGTCTGAGGAAAGGATTGGCATGAGTTGGTGCTTGGTTCAATACACAAGAAGAATTACTAAATATTTATTTTAAGATTGTGTCTCTGTTGAGTGTGGTAGCTCACGCCTGTAATCCTACCACTTTGGGACGCCAAGGAGGGTGGCTTGCCTGAGCTTAGGAGTTAGAGACCAGGCTGGCCAACATGGCGAAACCCGTTCTCTACTAAAAATACAAAATATTGTTGGGTGTGATGGTACATGCCTGCAGTCCCAGCTACTTGGGAGGCTGAAGCAGGAGAATCCTTTGAACCCTGAAGGTGGAGGTAGCAGAGAGCCGAGATCGCGCCCCTGCACTCCAGCCTGGGAGAAAGAGTGAGACCCTGTCTCAAAAAAACAAAACAAAACAAACAACAACAACAACAAAAAAAAAAAGCTTGCATCTCATTAGGAAAATATGGTATGCTTAATAAGCCAATACAACTCCCGTTTATACAGTACTTTCACATCCCAGCTGGTTTTCACGACAGCCCTTTCTGGGCATCACATGAATGGAATCTCAGAGACTTTGAGTTGTAGAGAATAAAAGGTGTAGTCTTGAGGAGCAGCTATAGGTGACAGACAAGTCGAGCAGCCCCTGTCAGTCACATATCCCACAGTCATCACTATTTCTTTTTCGCTTCTCTAAGACTGATTATGTCAGGGGGCATTGTGCTCACCACCAAGGGATAAATCACAATTAGCACTTTACCCTATTCCATTAAATGGTGTAGGAGTGGGTGTAAGACCCATTTCTAGTCAATGTGATTTATGGAGATTTCTGGGGGAAAAAAAAAAGTGTTTTCACTGATTAAAGGAGCAGAAGGGTCATTTTGCATCAGCCTCCTGCCTTCTTAGAGCTACACAGCCAACCTTCTGAGTAAGAGACAAGACATTGCTAGAAGACAGACAATGACAATAGAGGGATGCAAAGAACCTAGATCCTTGAGTTCCTATTTGAGTCACCAAACCAGCCTTAGGACTTCCAACCTCTGGACTTCTTGTTAAATAATTAATAAATATCCTGTTGTTTATGCCATTGTTACTTGGTTATTCTACCGTTTACAAGTGAAAGCAATTTAACCTATACACCAAACTCAATGAATAATGAGAAAAATTAAAGGCAAGAGACAGTGAATAGTTGCAAAGGTAAGAAGAGAACAAAAACATTAGGTAACATTGTGGAACCCAGGTGAGGACATTTTCAAACACAAAGCAAATTGTAGTGGACAAGAAAGATATGGAGATAATGGTACTTGGACAATGATAAGGAAGTTTACTGGAAATTTTGAGAGAAACATTTTAGTATAGTAAACTGGGTGGATGCTAAACCACATGGAGTCGTGTGTGAAGTAGATGGAAAGAATATGGAAATACCAGGTAAAACTGATTAGAGCATGGTACTATGTAGAAGGGGTAGAGAGGTAGTCGGGAATACTTTCCAGAAGTTTCTAAAACTTCAAGGAAGAATGAGTAGACATAAAAAGAGAATGAAATCCAATATGATCTTACTGGGTTGGTTGATTTTAAATTTTTCTTCTCATCTGCATTTTTCATGTTTTCTACAGTAGAGATGAGTCCTTGGTTAAGAGATAAAAAATAGTGTTTTGACACGAGTATGTCACATGTTTAACATAAATAGAAATTATAGCATTTGGTTCATGTTTTACAAAGTGAAAAGGTCTTACCCTATCTCGTGTAAGTAAAACAATTGGCTGTTAATATGTTTCTGAATAAAATAATAACTCTGAAAAGTATGAAGTGTCTCATGTTAATTTTTTAAAAGCCTTGGGTTTCTAAAGAAAAAAAAAGCAGAGCTACAACAGAATTTATCATCCTTTTCCTCAGTTATAGTAATCATGAATGAAAAAATGGGTGAATTTTAGTTTTTTCTTAGTATTTTTTAGATCAAAGTTGGACAAATAACTTCAAATAAAATCTTATGAAAACAGGAGAATGGACTTGAAGTGCCTATTCCACATCTCAGCTTGGCACAAATCAAAATCGCTTAGTTAACCTGCCTCTTGAAAAACACGGCCTGTAATGAAAAAGCTGTCAGAAATTTAACTACAGTAGCTCTGCCAGGTGCCTGGATAATGGGAAGGTTGCTGAGTTACAGAGAAAGAAAAGGTAAACTTGGGTGAATAATGACCAGAAATGGTGAAAATCTTTCATTTCCATCTTGTGGTTCATATCCAGTGAAATCCTAATAGTTCATTTAACATTTATTGAGCCTTAAATGTATACCTAGTGCTAATATAAACCAATTAAAATTATATCTTTAGGGCAGCTGAGAACAAAC